GGTAGAGGGTTTCCATTTGAAGTTACAGGAATTTCTTTTTGAAATTTAGTTTGATAGGACTATTTTTTAAAAAAATAAATTAACTGAAGTAATATGAGCAAGCAGTGCCTTGAGAGCAAAAAGTATCATGCTTGCTGTGTTTTGAGACACTCTAATTATTTAAATGCCACCATTTATGTTGAGGATACATATGCAATATTCTTAGGGTTTATTTTGAATATTGCAAGTTCAAGGGGAAAAAAAATCCAAGCAAACTCCTCTTTCAGTCTTTGGGAATCTTGGTAGTTCTGAAGATTGGACATTTCAATTGTGGTCAGAGAATCGGTGAAGAATAAATGTCTTCTTATCTTCCTATTGACAGCAGAGATAGTTTCCAGTGTATTCTTGTTCTAAAGAGTAAAAATATTGAGGCTACTGTCATATGGCCTCAGTGGAATCAATGATGACCTGTTGCTTAGGTACCATTCTCAGGCAGACCCTGATTGCAGATATCTAAAAGTTTTTGCTTGCTCACCTAATTTTTGACATGTGCTTAATACCCAAAATAATGGTGGGTGTGAGCCAGTGTCCGCTAGCGTCACTGTTGTTGTGACTCCTAACTATAATCACAAGCATTTCTGTTTTGAACAAAGTAAACACTTTATAATGGTTCCTTTTACATCATTCAAGTGAAGTGCTTGGAGGTTCTAATTCATAAACCTTAGGAGGCTTATGTGCTTCAGTCCTAATTTCTGTAGCACACTGCTGATCAGTTGCATTTATGTTGATTTGTTTGACCTGTGCCACACGCTTCTTGAAGAATGCTTTAGTTTCTGTGAATTTTCAGATCTTTTCGTGTTAACTGTCAAAAGACATCTGTGGTTTAGTTCTTGAAAGCTAATGTCTTCAGAGAGAATGGTATTAGGCTCTTCCCTTAGCACTAACAGTTGAAATTCAGGCTTTTGAGGGTGCAGGGTAGTCTGAATATTTAGTTTCTAATTCTGTATTAAGGAGGGGGGGAACCATGCATTTACTTTGTTTCGTGACTGCAAGTAGTTATATTGCTAAATACCAGAAGATCCCTGAGTGTTTATCTGACTGTCTTGTTGTGTTAAGGACTACAACAACAGCTTGCAGTCAGTCACACTTCTAAATTTTAAAAAATATATGTATATTTTTGAGAGAAGAATAAAATTTTATACAGTAGTAACTGCTACTTTTCTCTAAAATATTTTTGTTTAGAACTTCACACAGAATCAGAAATTTCCTCCTTCCTGCAACTAACTCTGACAGCTTACATTACTGGCCAGAATTCCTGTCTAGATGTGACTTGGAAATGCCAAACCCTATTCTGTACTAATTATCTTACTTCCAGTGTTTCAAATAAGATTAAATTTTGTACTTCGGCTATATTGATACATCTTAAGATGGCACATGTAAATAAGAGATAATTTGTAGTTTTTAAAAGTTTTATAAAGTGAAACTAGCAGCTGTTGTATTTTTACAGGACAAAGATACAAAGACCGGAACATGTGGCTACTGTGGACTTCAGTTTAAACAGAAACATCACTGAAAGATCATCCCTGCATGCTTGCAGATTTCTGTTCAGATGTTAACGTTTAACTGTAATAAACAATATATTTAGAAACCCAAGACTAGTGTTTGTGTTTATCCTAACTATGGAAAGTCTAGTCTGTACCTTTTTAAAACCTAGCTTGTCAGGTATTTGAGAGCTGAATGGTATTACAATATCTGCTTTGTACTTAATTTGGTTTTTATGGAACAAATATCCTGCCTTGTTTGGCAGGCTTCTCGCAGGCTTGGAAGTGGCCTTTGGCTGCAGCATAGGTTTGGTTTGTACTGGGTAGATTTGTGTTCTCTTCAACACTGAATTGGATGTAAATGTTTTCCGGGGGATTAATTATCCGAGATGTTTGTCTTTTGGCATTGTTTGACAGTGTTAATTTGTTCATGGCCCAGTATCTATGGCTAGATTCACAAATGGAAGCACAAAGATATGGTATATTCAGCATTACACCACTTACTCCTGGAAGCAAGTTGGCCATCCCTGAATTAAGTAACTACGCTTGCTACTTGTTTGAAACAACCAGTGCCTTAGAATGATAATTGGCGTGAGCTGGAGAACTACTGAATCTGACACACATGAAAGGTGAGGACATAAGTGTTTGTCCTCCAGTTAAGAGGATCAGAGTGTAAATATCTGATTCTGCTTGGGATTCACACCCTTGAAACCTCTTTATGAACTGGGTCTTGTCAGACTCGAAGTAGGGATTGCACCATTACAGGTAGCAGCTTCTGCTGTGAGGCTGGTTGCCTTCTTGCTTAATTTCACTTAGGTAGCATTCCATCATATAAGCATGACCCTCCAGACAGGATGTGTGCCTGGAGAAGGAGGGTCTGACGTTTGGCCCATAAATCCATGGGTCCTGATGGGAT